TTCTCCTTGCACCGGATCCGTGGATGATGTTTACATTTACCTGCAGATCGAATAGTTTTCGAGAAAAAAAATACCTGCAGAACCCAATCAGTTCTTATCTATCGGAACGGTATCGCTGGTTCACTCCTGTTCCTGGCTAAGAACTGCCAAGCGAATCCAAGTTGCCAGAGACGCAACAAGTAGCCGCCGGAAACCATGAATACACAGATAGCGATTGTGTGAGGCCAAACCGAAATAACGTGTCACCCAAAAAGAACAAAAAGAGAAAGAAAGAGAGAACAACTAGGAGTACTCTTTCCATTTAGTACCCCAATTTGAACGGGTGTTATTACGTTTGCGCGTGTGATATGTCACATACAGAGACGCACCTTTTATTCTCATTTTAATTAATTAGGTTGGGTTCCTTTGAGGGTTCAAAACCCTTCCCTCTCGACACATAAAACGGAATGGTTCATTAATATAATTTTTTAAAAAATAATGTTTATTTTTTTAAAAAAACACACACCTAATTTGAAAAATGTGCACATAAAAAACAAGAAAATAGAAGTTACGAAAGAGGAGAAAAACACACCCTTAAGATTTATATACGAACTGACCATGACCCACCTGGTTAGGTTCTTCATACGAAATTGAAATGATAGTAGGGAGTGTTGTCTTTCCCTACGTTTGATTTATAATACGGTAGAGATATTTTCTTTCCCTATGTTGTTCATGTCCCTCGTGGGGAACAATTTAAGGCGTAGGGTACAGTAGTGTTGGATTTAAGTTATAGGTTTGGCATGGATAATTATGTTTACGGGTTATTATCATTGATATGCAATGTGTTGATTGATAGCGAGATACTTAGAGATGCTCATCAGGTAAGAGATGTATGTGTGTTTCCATAAAGGTGTGAAAGAAATAATTTAGATTACGCGACGCTCAGCCAGTAAGGTCTCTGTTGGTAAAACTTATCCGAAATCAAGTTTGGTGACATAGGTGCTCACATTTACTATAGCTTTTTTGACTGGAATTAATCTAGTGACACGATGCTCGAATTTTTGATGACAACGAGACGCTTATGGTGAATTCGACAAAGTTGATCCAGTCTTTAATTGTAGTAGTAGGAATATAGTGTGCCGATATGTGTATATGAGCGACTAATGTATTTTTTTTAAAGAAAATAATTTAGATTATGGCATTCGAAGTTGCAAACACGGCGAACCAACGTGCCGGGCAAACTATACGTGAAGCAAAGCGAGCGATCGGTCGATGCGTGCGTCCACGCTCGCGACTCGGACTCGATCCACCGGCTGCCTGCCTGCCTGCCTTCCTTGATGCCTTCCAACCTGTGGATCTCGGCATATGCAGGCGACTTGACTTGTACTCCGTTAGCTTAGCTAGCATATCTCTAGACCCATCGACGGATCGCGATGAGTGATGGATTGCACGCACCGCACAGCACACGGGAAAGCGACCTCCACCGTGTACGCACCCATTTGCATCAATCGAATATATCGTCATGCGTGTAGCCGCAGGGTCACTAGGGTGTACGTGTTCATGTGTTTGACCTGGCCTAGCTATCCAGTTTCCCACCATAACCTGGTACACAACCCACGGCAATACGGCGTTTCAGGATCGTGCACACACGACTTTGTTCCATAGGTACGAGGGAAAACGCTCAAAGAATTCTATATGTGTTAAGGCTATTCCAATCAGATGAGTTATCGTCAGAAAAGTTAACTGACGAGTTTGTCTACTGATTGTTATTTTTACCTAATACTATGTTGTTATTGTATATGCAAGGACTAATAAATAGGATATAGTAGATTGACAGAGGACTAGTGTCTAGATAGCGAATTAAAGATAACGAACGCTAAGTTCCAATAGCGAAATTAAAAAATAACCATACATTTAGATTGTGTATCAATATTAACATCAAGTTTCACTTAAAATATAGAAGAAGGCACAAGATGCAAAGTTTTCATATTATATGTGAATAATATCATTTAAGCATTATAGCGATCCAACAAAGTTAATAGTGGATTGCTATAGCGGTCACGAAATGCTATAACAGGCTACTATAATGGTTGCGGAGCGCTGCAGTACCTGCTAAGTTTCAACACGCTATCTTCAGTCCGCTGCCTTCTAGCAGTAACGGTAGATGTCCGCTACACTGTTACAACGGTCGCTACTAATACTATTTATTACCTTGCATATATGAGGTGGTTAATGATCTACACAGTTGCTTTGGATGAATTTATTCAACTTATGCAAGGACGAATTTAACGTGGTTGTCAAAATTCTTTCCTCGATCCGCCGCTGGTGCAATTCTTGGATGGAACACGTAATTGTCCAACGAAATTTCTTAGGTGCAAAAGATCAAGGTAGTACAAGTGCATCATGTTCGTTTGCAAGGGAGCAACCACCAGTCAGGGTGCTTTGTTGTTCTCTCGTTCTGGCTTGCGGTCAATACAAGTGATGCTACAAGTCTCTGGTTGTGGTTGGATCTGTGACAACGTGTTTAGAACTAATCAATTTGCAAATGGCCTGCGTTTAGTTGCCTGTCTCTATTAACAAGTTACCACCTGAGCAACTAATTTAATTAAGTCTACAAAAAGTTGTTAACTTCAACCTTTTTCTACACAATCGATACAATACTAAGTAGCTAGGGAACAAACCAAAATGGCAGAACTTGATGACAAAAGAGTTAAAATATACTAGTGTTTGGCACAAATATGTGCTCGGTCATGTTTGGCACAAATTCAAAAATTAACGAATGACACTTCTATCTCAAAATAAAAACTAAAATCTTTTATATTTTAAGACGGTATAATATCTATTGTATCGTTATATCAGTTGATTCCTACATCTTCCAAACAAACCATATATGTACAAATTGGATTATCGAGGCATAACTCATCGATAACACATCACCGTCGTTATTACTTTGAGACTACTTTACATATGAAAAATATAATTGGAGGTACCGATTGTCTTAACTCATGTTCATACTTTGAACTGCAAATATAATGAATACCTTTTTTCATAGTGAAATTTAATTCGATCTTTACTTTAAAAAAGTTATTACAACTAACTATTATAGAGTTCAAAAAAATACAAACAACTATTATAGAGTTTGTAAAACGAATATCTATTAATTACTTCCTCCGTACCAAAATATAAGTATTTTTAGCTATGAATCTGGATAACATCATAGTAGTTGTTCAGATTTATAGCCAAAAGTTATTACATTGGGATGAAGGTAGTAGATTACTAAGAATACGATCTTAAAAGATATACTAGCTTGCTTTTTATGTACGATCTTTAAGTATATGACTGGCAGAGTACTGGTAGCATCCATGACTATATAAGCATGGATAATTAAAAAAACACAAATACACAAAAAAAATGAAACTAAAAAGGGGTTATACTATTTTTCAAACTCTAGAGGCTATAATATACAAGACAAGATCCTGGTGAGAGGCTGCTAGCTGCAACCCTATTTACGACTAATCATCAGACAAACCACAACTTGGTGATGGTTACGTGGGTGTGCATTTTCCATAAAACTAGTGGGCAAAATGCAGTCTCGCGCACAGTTGGCCTTGCCAATTTGTAAAAGCGCCGAGAACCCACCGTTGAAAAATCCAAGTCAAAAAATAGAAAAAAAGCAAAACCACCAGCCGTAGTTGAGCCGGCTCCAAGCGAGCCGTCCACTCGCGATTGGTCGGAAAAGAAGATCGCTATCGGCTCATCTTGGGTCGGCTCGGCTCGCGGACGCCAAACCCGCGGACTTGAAGCGCAGCGGATAGCGGACTTAAGAATCGAAATTTAAATCGGGAAATTAAATAGAAACTGGAAAAAGGCGACGCGCCCGTGACGGATGGCCCCAGAATCCCGATCTCCACGCTCCCGCCACTTTTTGCGCTTTAGCCCCTGCCAAGATTTCTTATCTTATCAATCCTCTGAATAAAAGTATTTGAAAAAGTACCCACTGTTCTGGTGCTTGAATGTGCGGTGTATTTGCGTTTAAGACCCCAAGATTTTCATGTTTTGAGAATTGATCCGACAGTTGGGGTCACATGCTTGGCGCTTTGGCTGGTTGGGTTGGGAGCGTGGTTTTTGCCCGGATAAAGGGTAGAGTGGTTGGTTGGGTACTTGGGTTGGGTTGGGTGGTCCATTCTGTACGGTGCGCCGGGTCGTCTCCGTTTTTCTGCCTAAGCCATTTTGGACAACAAAGAAACCGTGCTTGAATACTGTTTTCTTCTTTCTTTTTTGTGAGGGATGCTTTTTAAGTTTTTGGGTGTTGGTCAGATCTTCACACTGTTCCATGATAGCTGCCGGCACTAACCCTTCACTGTCGATTAATATATATGGTCGATTCTATAGTTGTAGTATCCATTTGGAATCCTAATTTTGTCATTATCACTCCAAAACAATTAATTAAGTTTTTTTTGTTCTAAAGGTATTCCTTTCACCATACTGTACTATTGTAAAACCATATAAATGTGCACAGCAGTGACACACACAGAACAAAAAGAAGAAATATCAAGATCCGCGTGGGTAAAATATAGCCATTCTTTTTTCCCCTCTTAACTAAAAAGAGACCCGTTAAAACAGCACCGATTAGCAATTACCCCTCCCACGAGGCAGAGACGGATGACTTTACAGCGAATCAAAATCCAAACCGGTGGCAGAAAAATATCACTCCCTTTGGAAGGCGTCTCCGTTCCAACCCCCGTCTAGAACGCACGGCACGTCAAGGCAAAGGCACGACCACATCCATAGAAACCTGACTTGCCGGCTGCTTGCTGGTCTTCCACATGCCACACGCACCCCTCCCCGACCAAAACCAAATAAAGAAAACGTCTCTCCGCTCACGAGAGCCAGCCGTGCCAACCAAGCCCTCACCGCACCGCGCCGCGCCGCTCCCACGCACGCACGCCACACATGTTTTTGCGCAAAAACCCCCCCGCGAGTGCGCACCCGGCACCCGCGTCCAACGCTATATATTACGCGGCCCCCAACTCGGCGTCGCACCGCAAAGCAACCCCCCCTTGCTTTTTGTACTCTTCCATCTCACAATCTCTCTATCTCTCTCTCTCTTCCTTACGCGGCAAAACACACCGTCGTCCATGGACAGTTCTAATAACAACAACAACAACAAGAGGGCGCGCGACGCCGAGGATGAGGCCGACGAGGCCAAGAGGCTGCGGGCGGAGGACCTGCTCGACATGCTCGACGATGATACCGACGCCGGGGGCGCCGCCGGCGACCTGGCGTCCGTCATGCGGAGCTTCGAGGAGGAGATTGTTGCTGGGGATGTCGCCGGGGACGTTGCCCCCACGACGCAGCCCGAGCTCGGGTTCCTTCTCGAGGCCTCCGACGACGAGCTCGGCCTGCCGCCCGCCACCGCGTCCTCGTCGGAGGAGGAGGCCGGGGCTGGGGAGCCCGAGGATGCCATCGGGTTCGGCGGACAGATCTGGGGGTTCGAGGACGAGATTGGCGGAGGCGGCTACGCTGGCTTCGCCCTCACCTCGCCGGAGGCGGTCGCCGCCGCCGCCGCCGCGGCGGAGTGGGACGACGACGGCTTCGACGCCGGCTTGTTCGGCTTCGGCGACGAGGTCTCGGCGCTTCGCCACGAGACCATGCCGGCCGTCTGATGGGCCTGGGCCGAAGTGGATTAGTTTTTTTTTATTTTCCTCGTTTTTTTTAAATTTGGCTAACCTTAGCTCTACCCTTGTTTAACCTTGGATGTAAAGTTTCTAGTAGAAGGTTAAAAAAACAGAGGGGAGGAAACTTGGAAAAAAGTTTCATGGATGGAGAGGAGAAAAAAAAAACAGATGTAGGCATGGTTAAAAGAAAAAATCTGATGACAATGCCTCACGAACAAAAATGAGAAGAATGGCTTCATGCCTTCATACCAGTACTACGACCTTACAAATATTTTATTTCAAGCAAACGAAAGATTTAATTTAATCAGCTGCCACGATAAATTACATGGAGCAGTTCAAACTTCAAAAGGATATTGTGAACGGAAGAGAAAATAATTTCATGGTGGATGAACTGTCGACGTTGACCTGCACACATGACAAACCGAGATGGAACAAAAGATCTGAAATGAACTGTACAGCACTAAAATGGACGGAAAATTCGAAATCCGAAGCTTCCAGTCCTCCTTGGAGTGCATGAAAAAGGTGAAGCTGGGAAATTGTGAACGTTTAATTGAAAAGGAGCGGATAATTGAGGCCGGCATGGTTGACCTAGAAATGAAATCTTTATGCAATTTCGTGGAGCGAGATAAAGCCCACAGGAAAAGATGGTGAGCCAACGTCTTTCACGTCGGTTTCAGGTTTGCCGTCGGCTTGAGGTAAATGGGAACGCTGGAGAAGAGTTCACGAAACTCCCGTGGAATCATCCTTTCTTTACTACTCCTAATCTTTAATAAACAAAATAAAAAACAATATCTTGTGGGTGCATATGATATCAAAGTCTAGGTCGTATGTGCGCAAACCAAATCTTGTTCTGAAAAACTCCCTACTAGTACTACTTGACATTGATTAACACTTGCGTTTTTAAGTTAGGCGGCAATTCACATGACATAACGAAAATCGAGTGTTCTTCTTTTTTTTTTTTTCGTTCCCTCTCCATTTGTGTCTTCCATGTTTGGTTGAAGATTTCCAGTGCCTGTCTAGTGCTATCATTGACGCTAGGGGCCAAACCACAAAAATACTTTTCCTGCAACTGCAAGTATAATATTTACGGGTCATCAGTAACTTATTCGCAATCAAACCTTCTGTAATTCTCTGGCAATATTTATTTTGGGAGCAGGAAAGTTGGATTGGGAGATGGAAAGCTGATAGGGCCATTTACCAGGAAAATTTAATTGCTGTGATCGCATCGCACACGTCGTGCTTGCCCCGGATTGCAAAGTAGTCCTACCACAAAAGGTTGTGTTCAAACCACGCAAGCTAAAGCCACCCACGGCGTTGTGCTTGTTTAGGAATAATCGGTGCTTGATTTCTCTCTCTCTCTCTCGGGACGTCGTTTTCTCGTATGAGTAAGGCCGGTTTCAGATGTGCGTTGCCGGTGGGTTTTCTCATTTCGTTTGTAGCGTGTGATATCTCGCCTGCTCTCATGTGGTTCGCGGCGCGCCGATCAAAACCATTACTCCCCGGCACCAACTGCACCCGACCCATCCAAACTCATCATGTACACTGTATAGATCGATGGACACCAATCTTGGCTGTTTCCTCGTCATCCCCCCTCACGAAACACATAAACTCATCGATCCGGTACAGTACCCCATATCTATAGTAGTCCAGAAGCAACAAACTGCACCGCGTTTTTTCTCGGTCAAGTGCGGTACGGTTTTTCTCTTGGCGTTTTGCGTGGTATGCAATAGGGAGAGGGGGTATAGTACGTACGAGTAATGCACGGTCGGTTGGGGAGGTGGTTGGATCGCGAGAGGACGGCATGCGAGATCGGTTACCGCACACGGCCACATGGTGGGCAGCGGCGGTGGCGACCGACCGCTGCCACGGCGGTTTGCAACGCAAGCAAACAGTACGTGACGGGAGGTCGAGAGGAGGCGGCAATAATGGCGGAGGAGGAATTGAAAAGGTGGAGGTGGAGTGGTGGCAGAGGCTGCATCTGATGGCCATTGCATGCGAATGTGTGTGTGGATATCTTTATTACCGGTACAGCGTCTAAACTGGCCGCCGGCCCATGCAGCGTGCGACGAGCTGCAGATCACGCACATGGACTGGTGCCGGTGCCGGTGGTTGGATCGGGGATCTCATCTAAATAACCGACTTTGTGTTCAACTCATTGCAACCGCTGGTGGTGGTCTGGTCTTTGATGTGAGCTCTCCCCCTTTCTTTCTTTACTTGTTCAAACGATCAAAGGTGGGTGGTTTATCAGAGAGCCATGAACCGGTTCAGGATGTGGTGAGAAAACGATGGTCTGAAGTGGGTGATTCTGTGGCTGATGCTGCCCATATTATAATAATATCGAGCTGTAACTGCAAACGGTGCGACCTGTTGCAATGCAGTGACGTTGAATAGTTTTTCCTTTGGTTCTGATGGGCTGGTGCGTGACGGTGAAATTTCGGGAGCATATCACTCTCACTGAACTACCCCCGGTCTACTCTACTGAAACATAGTCCAGAAAAGACATACGCTTGGTGGGCCTAAGGCCCAATGTATCAAGGAATAAGTTCATCTGAGGTCCCTTAACTTGTCAACGAGTCCGATTTTCGTCTTTCAACCAGAAAACCAGATACAACAGGTCCCTCAACTATCAAAACCAGTGCAGATGAGATCCCTCGACGGTTTTGAGAGTGGTTTTGGCTGACGTGGCGCCTACGTGGCAAATTTGACTTGGTCTTCATCTGATGTGGCATTAACGTGGCGCATCTGTGGCAATTTGATCCGAAAAAATAATAAACTTCGTGGGACCCACATGTCAGCCTCACACATAAATTAATAAAAAAATGGTGGGGGCCCACGTGGGCCCCACATGTCATTCTCAGCATCTCCCTCTCTTCACCTAGAGCCCCTCTTCTTCTTCCTCTCTCTCCCTTCTCCCATCCCCGAGGTGGCGGGCGGTGTCCGGGTGAGGGATGACAGCTCGCGGCAGCCGGGCGAGGAGGGAGGTGGCACGTGGCGGCCGGGCGAGGAGAGGCAACGCGCGGCGGACCGGCGAGGAGGGAGGCGGCGCGGCTAGGAGGGGGGCGGCGCTTGGCGGCCTGGAGAGGAGAGGCGACGCGCGGCGGCCGGGGGAGGAGGGAGGCGGCGCTCGGCGGCCGGGCGACGAAGGGCAGCTCCGACCCGGATGTGACCATCGAGGACGTCGGCGGAGGTGGCCGGGCGAGGAGGGAGGTGGCGCGTACGGCTACTAAGCGAGGAGGGGCGGCGCCGTCCGGCTGGGCATCGCGGGCGGAGCGGCCGACGGAGTGTAGCTGTCGCACTCGCCGGCAACCTCCGCTGCCTGCGGCCTGTCGTCGCTCCGCCCGCCCCTCAGCCCCGCCGCCGCTCCGTCCGCCGGCATGCTCCTGCCGCCGCTCCCGCGAGGACGAGGAAGAGCGAAGAGGAAGAGAAACGAGAGCCGAGAAGGACTTGTGGGGCCCACGTGGGCCCTACCATTCTTTTATTGATTTATGTGAGACTGACATGTGGGTCCCACGAAGTTTATTATTTTTCCGGATCAAATTGCCACGTATGGCGCCACGTCAATGCCACATCAAAAGAAGACTAAGTCAAATTTTGCCACGTAGGGGCCACGTCAGCTAAAACCACCCTCAAAACCGCCGAGGGACTTCATCTGCACTGGTTTTGCACTGGTTTTGATAGTTGAGGGACCCGTTGTATCTGGTTTCCGGTTGAAGCACGAAAATCGTATTCGTTGACAAGTTAAGGGACCTCATATGTACTTATTCCATGTATCAATGACTGGTAAGGGCAGCTCGGTTCCCTTAGCCCAACACGGCGAGCGAATATGGTGAAATCATGCGGCCTGTTAGCCCACCGTGCGGATCTGGACTGTGATGGGCCAAACAAATATCCGGCCAACCTTTTTCTCTCGAAACATGTTCATGCCATTCGCATGAATTGTTCATAGCCATTTACGAGCACACGCAAAAACGAGTAGTACCTCACAAAAAGAAGCAGTGCGCTAACAAACTGACATTTACCGCGACTGCAAAGGTAAAACAGCACACGAACCTTTTTGTAACGGTAAATCCCCACCGGCACGCATGCGCGCTACGTATACCCTGCAGTTAACCTTTGGCCCGCACCGTCCACTGCATTTTTTACTCGTTTCACCCGCCTTTCTACTCCTACTCGGCGTGCAACGCAGCGGTGCAACTGCTGCACGCTGACCGGTCCGCTGTTTGTGTTCGCTTGGTCACCGCAGGGGATCTCCACTCCACGCACCGCACGACTCCACGACAAAGTTGGGAATCCATTTGGCTGCATAAAATATTTCGCACCTTCCTTCACAAAAATAAAATATTTCGTACTGTACCACCATATGAGAAAGCGAGAGTCCGTCCAAGTGGGTGGCGACTCGGCCGCGCGTCACGTGGCGCGCATGCCGCCCCGTACGTGCGACTCATCGGATCCGCTCGTGGTCGTGCCACGCCGACGCCGATGCTTTTCTTCGCCGCCGAAACAAAAACCGGCATGGTCTACTCTACTATACTGTCTACTACTACTCGACCATGCATACTGCTGCAGCTGATGATACTGTATATTATCCCGTCTGAAAAGAGAGAGAGGAAAATGAAAAACTAAAACGGCGCACGCAGCTCGCACGTGCTGGGCCATGAGGGAAGGCTGCTGCGTGCACAGTGCAAACAGCTTGCACGCCTCGAAAAGGGAGAAAAGAAAAGAGGAGAAGAAGAGAAAAAGGGACACTACCGGTACTAGCGAGAAAGAAAGAAAGATTAGTCAAATTGCGCACACCAACCGACAAGGGCTTCCATCTGGGACCCACCCACCCAACCGGACCGGCTCGCTTCACTCCCTGGGCCTCGTGAGTGAGCACCTTTGGGTCTGGGTCTGCGTGGCGGCCGCCTACGCGCACCACATCGAGTCCACACATGACACACCTCACGCGGGCGGGCGTGCCAGCTGCAAAGGCGAGCCGAGGCCCATCTCCTGCGACAAATGTCCACGTTGGTCTCGCCACGATGAGAAATTCCTTTTGCTTTTTCCTGCCGAACTAATTCCTTCCCGAATATTATCTCCCTCTTTATTTTTTTCTCCTCCAACGTGTAAATATACTCGCTATATTCCAGGTATAGCATATTAGGGTTTAAATGTTTGTACAAGATTAGTGCTCGTGCTCCTATAAGGAGCGAATATTTTGTTCGAGTCACTGCATTTTGAGTAAAGAATTTTTTTTCCATCTTATGCATATTGAGTAAAAAAAAATACCTTTACATAGAATAATTTCCAAGGTTTCCTAATTACTCCCTCCATCTACTTTTGATAGTCATATTTCTAAATCTGAAAAAATTATTTTTGATAGACATATTTCAATCCAACAAATTATTATCTTAATGGCTTTCTTGAATTTAATGCGTGACTCTTTATTCTTCCACACAAGATTGACTATATGGGCATCGAGAAATGTAAATATTAATAAATCGCTTGTTTATGAGGAATGATTAGTAGCATGTTTAGATGGATGATAAGTAGAATCACTTATCGTTGGTCTGTGTGCCAAAATAAAATATGACTATCAAAAGTAGATTGAGGGGTACTACATAACAAGTGCAGAAGTTACTGTTAGTATACACTTTTTTTTACATTGGTAACCAACCTTAAATAATCAAAAGAAACTTTTTTTTTCGGTTTTCAATATAGATCGAATGTACAAATCTTTGACTTTTTCTGCGAAGAATCCTGTTTACGGCGCATAATAAGATCGAAGAATCACGCCTAACTGCATGCAGATACAGTGCCGAGAACAGAATCAGATCTGCGGATTAACGGAAGACTTGTTTTAGCTTCCGTCTTTTTATCTGGCCATATGAAACAGTCTCTCCTAAAAATAGAATCACTGTATAGTAAACAAATCTTGGGATTGTCAGCAAGTGCCAAGTCCACGTAGAGGAAAATCTTCCAAAATATATCGTGGGTCATCAGATGAGAGATTCTCGCACAAAACATGCTTACGTGTCAAACGAGGCACGCTACGAAAAAAGAGGAAGCTGACCAATCGACGGCCCCTCCGTGGCCACATGTTTTTGCCCGCTTTTCCAAAAAAAATTCCGTTCCGTTTTACGGTGCCCGTTTACCTTGGCCCTCAAGTTAGCTGGAAACACAAAATCCTTCCAATTCTGTCGTGGGGCCTCTCACGATAATTTCAGCATTAAGTACTTTATTTATTCTAAAAATATCTATCGCCATTTCCATGTGTCAGAAATTAGTTCTGAGTTAAGGACGTCTTGATTGGGAGATTAGCCTTGGCCGCGTGGAATCTCAACCATAGAATCCCAATCCCCTTCTTTTCCGTTGCCCTATCACTAGATCTGGTCACTATGCAGAAGTGTAAGGGGCCCACATGTCATGGAGACGATGATGTACAGGCCAGGCGTGTAGGTGAAGCATTTATCATTTGCTAGCCGCCTCATCTCGCCCATTCGCTTCCCCGTCATAAAGCCCCCCCAAAACCCTCCCCACCTCTGCCATTTGGTGCTTATCCCCATGAGTGGTGGGGACACATCGCCCGGGCCCCACATGTCAGCTAAAACCCCCGCATGCTTCCGGACGGTAGCACCGGTACCGAGATTTTTACTCCGCGAGGTGACCGCTCTGTCACTGCGCGTGGGCCCGGACGTAGTAGTGGCCCACCCGTCACTGTGTTCGTAGCAGGCGACTGTGCAGAAATCTGGTGCGTGAAGCCGCAGAATATCATCCGGAGGCAGAGAGGCCACTCCCGCGTGACATGAGGGACCATATGGTGGGGTGGGCCCACGCGTCAGTGTGATGGGGTGGGGGATAGGCGCGTGAGGGAGAGGAATGGGTGGAGGAGTGGGAGGGGATTAAATATCGGCGGAGGAGACGAGCCCAACCCCTTTTGCTCCTCTCGCCGTTTTGGTCGGGGTTTTAGCGAGCGCGTGGGAGGCCGGAGGCGACGACGACGACCGCGCCGCCGTCGGAGAAGAAGGCCGCGGAAGCACCAGTACCAGCACCCGTATATGTCTTCTAGCCCCTTCTCCGATCTGGTGGTAGTCGTGCTCCTCGTCTGCGCCGTCGTCGCCGCAGCCGTCCTCCTCCCCCTCGTCTGCGCCCGCCGATCTATGCACCAGAGGCTCCACGGCTGGAACAAGTCCACGTCGATGCTCAGGTGCGTCCGGGTGCCCCTTCCCCACCGTGAAATTTTTCATCTTTGGCGAGGTTTACGCCGATCTGGAGTGGATTTGACCGGGTTTCGCGGCCGGTTCGTCCAGATCTGGAGGGTTCTTGGTGGGTTTTTGTGGGGTTTTTGATTGATGGGTTTGTTTCTCGTCTGTGATTTTGCAGGGACGGGTTCGGGGTCAAGTATTCCGGGTTCCTCCACATAAGGCCGTGTGGTTTCTGTCGAGGAGATTGACGGATTCGATCGATTCGTGTTCGTCTCCGTCAAATTTTTGCACAAGAGAAAAAAAAAGTTTCCCCCTTTTAGAGTTTTTCCCCTTCAGTTTTGTCAGTTTTGGTGAGGAATTTTAGAGTTCTTTTCCGGCAAGAGTTAGAAGAAGAGAGAAATGGCCCCTTCCAAGCAGCAGCAGATGCTCCTCAAGAAGGTGATGGCGAAGAAGCCCAAGACGAAGAGGCTATCCGGGTTTGGCCTTAAACCCTCTGCTGCTTTCTCCAGGCCCCATGTGCCGTCGGCGGCGGCCTCCCTGCAGCCAAGCCGTCGCGTCCGCGTCGTGTTCGAGGACCCTGACGCGACGGACTCCGACTCTGACGACGACGAGGACGCCGGCGCCGCCTCAAAGAAGCGCTACTTTGAGCTCTTCATTGGCAAGCCAGCTTCGTCGACGAAGCAGGCCTCTCCGGCGTCCACCGTCGCTGCCTACGCCAACATCGGCAAGGTTGGGAGCACCTGCTACCGTGGTGTGCGCCTCCGGAAGTGGGGCAAGTGGGCGGCGGAGATCCGCAACCCCTTCACCGGCCATAGGGAGTGGCTTGGCACCTTTGACACTGCTGATGCGGCCTCCGCCGCCTACCAGTCTGCCTCCCGCAACTTCGCCGAAGAGAAGCGCCGCCGTGGTGTGGCCTCCTCTGCCTCACCTGCTAGTTCGGCGACCCCTACTCCGACTGCGTCCTCGTCGTCCTCGACTTCTGCCGCGCCATTCGCCCACCCTTCGCCGTCGTCTGTGCTCGAAGCCACCAAGCCAGCTCCAAAGCCAGAGTCGCCGCCGCTGCCGGAGCAAGCTGCAACTCCCCTCCTGGTGGAGGCTACCAACGAGACCGCCGAGCTGCCGGATGACCCAGAGTTCTACAAGGATATACTGCGCGGTCTACAGCTGCCGGACATTGACCCGATGGATTTCCGAGCTGGGCTGGATGCTCTGGATATCTCCGATGTGCCGGCTTACATGAATGGCGAACAAGACGTACTCTTCACTGAGGACATGCTGCTTGGAGACTTCGCTGAAGAAGATGACCTCGACCTCGACGACATCGGTGATGACTTCTGCGAGGATTTCCCAGAGATACCCAGCGGCTACGACTTCGGCCGTGGTGATATGTTCCGGCAGGTGGATTTCTGCGTGTGAATTAAGAGCTTGCTAAAGTTATTCATGTTGGTGTGATGGGCCTGTGAGTGTGGGTGCTTGGGAGGAGATTTCTTGGGTTTTTTCCCCGAGCAAAATCAATCTGCTCGTGCCCTTGAGATTTCAGTTCCGCCCATAAGAACTCCAACGCACATTTAGCATTCGGAGAGTAATTTTGTTAGGTTAAAAGTATGGTAAGTTATAGGTGGTATGTTATGTTTTTCTTTTTCTTTTCTCAATGTTATCTGGTACCTAAGTTTGTCAAGAAAATCATAGTGGACAAGTCAAGTATTTGGGGCTGTCGTCTCTGTTATGGAAAGAAAAATAAGTTTTGATTACATTACATATCTTTTGCTCTCGAGATCTGGTCATGTCGTCGCATTGCAACTCGTCTCGTCTGTATGCATTTTACTCTGCTGGTTTAATGTTGAGATTGTGTAGTTAATGAGCTGTTACCCTGAGATTCCTGCACTGAGGATGTGCAGCTAATTTTATGAGTTTGACTAATGAGGCTAGATATTTTACCTATGCTGTGATCGTGCAGCTGGTTGTTTTGGACGCTGGTGGGCAGATCGTGCGGTTTTTTTTTACAGGTGCTGGTATACAAGATGCGGCTAGATCCGATACGCATGCGTACAAGCTGCTAGACAAAGTCCGGGTTCAGTGTTAGCTGTGAGCAGTGATGCGTTTTGTTTATGTGGAGAGAGCTTGGTCGTTGCACGGTGGTGCGTACTAAAAGTATTTTCAGAGGTTGTGACCTGTTAGAGAGGGACTGAGCGAGTATACTAGTATTAGTACAGTAGTAGTGAGCTGAGCCGCCTGAGATTTTTATTGCGAGACTTGAGCATATTGGAGAATGGAGAGAGTATCAAGCAAGTTGGCCATAGGCATCGACCGAGTGAGTGAGAGAGTGCTCACTCCTTTCTTCGTTTATAGGTGCACTTTTGTGAAGGCGGCGTGGGGGAGAGTAGGCCGCGACAGGTGGTTCGCTCGCCCTGTGCCAAACAAAACTGAGCCCCACGTGACAAGGTACAGCAAATGCGTACCCAGCTCACGGCTGGGAGCAGTAGCATTTGGTGTGAGTCACGGAGGTGTGGGCGTGAGTCACCTCGCAGTCGCAGGCCAGCCGCTGCTTGTCTCGTTTTGGCGCGGCGCGCGGCGACGCGAGACGGCTGGCCGGCTGGGGCCATGGTTTTTCCCCCGCGGGGGCGTGTGGTGCTGTGTGGTGTGGCGCCGCGCGCGCGGGTGGTGATAAGGTTCCCGATGAGACCGCGGCTCACCAGGGCAAATCCCGCGCGTGGTCACGCCCCGCGCGCGTCCGCGCGTCCTATCCCCGGCCGCGAAACGGCGTCGTGTAGTCGTGTACGTAGACATGACGCGGCGCGGGATAACCCGACGGGGAGGCGATATACGGGCGATACCGATACGGATGGCGTGGCTATCCTATTCTAGGACCGGCCGCGCTGGTACGCCACGACGTCGACGCCTTTGGCATGGCACCCCGCGTTTTGTTCGCTTCCTCCCTCTCTCGCTCACATGCCGTCCATGCCGTTTCTGTTGTGATTTTCCCACAAGCTTAACCTTTTTCCGAAAGACCATTTCCCAGAGCTTAACTTGTTTTAATTTGCGAAAGGACTCGCACGCATCGGCACACTTGGGACGGGGTACGGCACAGCTGGAAGCCACGCTGCGAAGGTGGAGTGAGGTGAGTGAATGCGTTAGCTGGTAGGGGACGGGGACGTGGCTGGGTTGGGTCAGGTGGGTGGAGGATGAATCGAAGTCGGATGTCAGCTTGGCGTGGCCGTGCAAGGTCGAGATATCGCGCGCTTGTTGCTCCACGGTTGTTGACATGTGGCGCGGCGCCGATCGAATTGCCGGCTCGCGCACGGCTTTGTTGCCTCTGCTTTTTCCACCTTTTGCCGCGCACGTCATAGCGTGTGGCTGTGTTGTCTCGTTCGACGTCATGGCGGCTGCTGCTGCTCATCTCTTGCGCCCGGTGCACGCATCGAATCATTGCGCTAAGTTGGTTTAGGCTACCTGTGGCAGTACTAGGTTTGGCTAATAATCCACGTGTGTAGGTAGGTTAGTTACGGACTTACGGTGGTGCAAAAGTAAAACTGTTGGCAGTCACACTTGATATGATCGCTAACCATAGTCTTTTCGGAGAAAAATGGTTCAGATAGGTGGTTCGATTTCTGCCATAGACTACTCGTCAACAAAGTCCACGCAACAAGAAGAATGGCCACGAGCCAGGTGAAGGCAATAATGATGATTATTAAGACCGCACCTAATAGTACTAGGATTTTTGGCACCTAACAGCACTAGGATATTTGGAAAGGAACAGTCCTAACCCCAAAAGAATTGGAACCCCCAACTTCACTTCCATGTTGACATCTTCACTCCCTCCGGGAATACGAGTGACCGAGTGACGTGTCATTTTTCTTTCTGGAACGTTCTGTGCGGAATCCAGCAGACATCCAAGCTTAAGAACTTGGCGTGTTCCTACTTCGTCTTTACGGAGATACAGTGTATCCATGCGATTTTTGCCGAATCTTGTTACGAAGTACTAACAGTTTTCGTCTTCTCGTTTGTACGCTATCTGGCCGTCGAGTGACTCGCCACCACTCGACGATGTGTGTGGATCGAAACGGTCGTCTTTGCCGCATGCCGAAACAGTTGGTGGCGGCATGCGGCGCATCGCCTATCAAATCGCAATGTTGCGTGTTGGAAGAGGAGTTATTGCCGGCTCCATCGTCCGTATCGTTCGTTCGTTCGTTGAATCTTCCTTCAATCCCCCGGTGCGGCGCTGCTATTTGCCGATCGCGACGCGGGCGCCGCGCCGCACGGCCGAACTCGACGGAGACGACACGGTGGCGCGCTTGATGGCGCGTGCAGCTGCCACGCAGATCGCTCGCGCTTCACGTTAGCTCATCACAGGCATCGCACGATGGGCGCTTGTTAATGCGGCCTTGAATTGGCCCTAGCCCTGTTTGGTCTGCATCAGATCCGGATCTACACTAATCCTGCTCGAGTTTTGACAGGATCTATGCTTCGTGTTGCCGATCAGGTAGACAGTCCCCATCGCGAGCGACATCCCGAGTCAAATCGGTGATGGAACCAGGGGGAGAAAATCGCACAAAGTCGTGGCTTAGTCCAACTTCTTCCAATTATCCACTCTTTTCCTGGAACATATCGCTTGCGTCGATGGAAAAATATAATCCATTTGATTAGTCGGCCGAAACCTGTGATATAGGAGTATACTACTGCTACTATCCCTCTGGCTATTGCCGCTTACGGCGAAGACAAAACATCAAAATCGCAAACGTGTCCATATACTACTACTGCTGGTGACAAGTCCGTCCTCCTGCGAGAAGATCCAAAGCTGCCGGTAAAAGGAATCGCGGTACATCGCACAGTTGTAGTACTGCTCGTTGCTACAGCTCCAAGCAAGTTGAGACAAGATTCAGTTTTAATTTTTATTTTTTTTCTCCTTCAACGACAGCGTCTGACCGACCAGCTGCCGGTCGACATGGTGAGCTCCGCCCCCGATTTCTCAACGTTTTCCTGACGAGATTTGCCGTGTGGTACCGTGGTGCCCGCAAGCAGGGCCAGTGGTGTGGTCGCTGTCACGTGGTGTTGTGCGCGAGATGAGGTGAGTGTGAGGGCTCGAGGGAGACACAGAGCACCAGCCTCTGACCCTGCTGATGATCTGGGGTCAAAACGACTCCGGAGGCTGCAGCCAAGTTGGACGAACGAGGGAGTGTATTATTGGCGTATTTTACTGTCGTGGAATCAATCATTCGTGACCTGGTGTGGAGCACTCTCACTCGATCCCTTGGCTTGGCTATCACCTGGCTCATCTTTGCCGTTGATATTTTTGACCTGTGCAACTCATGGATTGTCAGTCGTAGTAGGTAGTAGCCGGTTGCTTTGCTTTCACTCTAGAGAGCTGAGCAGTGCGTGGATCACTGTACTGAATCGCTTTTAGTAGAAAGATCCAAGCACTAATGCTGTCACTAAAGTGTTGTTTACAATTTCCTGCGGCTTCGAGAGATGTCAAGCCAGCTCGCTACTTTGGTAGTATCGCTTGGAGCAATGTTCCTCTTTCTGTCACTCTAATCAAACTCCACTGTTGCGCATATCTTCTTGTACGGAGCCTGTTTAGGATATGCAGAAAATTGAATGTTTCATCATAAATAGCATTCACTCCGTTCTAGTAACTTTTTTTCCTCTCACGTTTGTTCCCAAACAAATTCATTTTTACCAATTATTGTATCGAGTTTGTGAAAGTACAAATAAATGTATCAGAAATAGATAAATTAATGGATAATTGTATCGGGATTTAACTGAAGCGGGATATTATGGTCCTTTCGATTTTATATCGATATGTAGGGTGAGTGGAATATAACTTGTTTTAGGACGAAGGCATTACTAGTAATAAAATAGAGTCGAGTTTATTTCAATATATTGAGGAAAAAATAATCATATGTACTAAAGTGAAAATCCTAAAAAGAGAAAAGGGGACAGCCTCAATGTTTTTTTCCCCGAACATGTTGAACTAATTTTGAGTAAATTATACCGTTGGCGGAGCTACAAGGTAGGTGTAGCCTGTTACATGAACATGTAAAAACCTCAGACCAATACACCAAAACGGCAAACCGCATCAATTCTTGCTGCGTCGAGTACATTGAGTAGGATATCACGTAGTCGTAGGCACACACATGAGGAGGATGTTATGCGGATATGTATGTGATCAGTCCACTAGAGACTAAGGTACACTTGATTATTTAGGTTGTGTTTTTAAGTCAATGTTCCTAATTTCACTTGTTTCTTTTTCACGTGTATGTTTTCCAAACCGTTAAATGATATTTTTTTAGAAAATTATTATAGGAAAATTGCTTTTAAAAAGTTATATCAAACTATTTTTAAGCTTTTATACTTAATTAACCGCACACTAATGTGATTGTTATAAAAGTACGTCGATATAATGGAACGACAATTAACTTTTTCGATCGCTTCAGTCATTGGTCACCTAAGACACGCTAAATGACGACATAAGAACACATGATATTTGTTAAAGAGATTTAGCCTAAGCCTACATGCATCCCAGGGCTCTAATTATGGGCAACACCAAGACGCTACGAGTCTATGGCCTCACCGCCATAGTCTTCCTGCGTGTCTATGATACATTATAGTCGCCATCTTTTATATTGTGGTGCCCTCCTCTCTTTAAGAGAATACCGGGTTATAAAGTCCGACTTTAACTTCACCCCTACCAAATATTACAACTCCAAGTCCAACTTTAACTAAATAGTACTAGTATATTTGACATTTATTCTAACAATTCTCAACCCCTTCTCCCGAACACAACTAGAGTGACTTTCGTCCCACCTTAAATGAAGCTTACTCGCATTATATGGTACTCATAAACTGAAAATAGAATCTCCCTGTATAAATCACATTGGGAAATCACCCTCATCTTATTGCCATATTATGCGCTAGTCGAGATGAGGACGCTCTTGGCGTCGTTGACATCCATTGCTAAGTCCCACGCTATAACCTCTATCACTTGAACACTAAAAACTCCACTCCTCGTCTCCTCCTAACTCGAATGACTTCCATCTTATAAACCGTTATTGAAATTTAAAATTTAAAATTATTTTTTTCAGCATTTTTTGTTTTTAAAATTACATTTGAAATTGTTAATGACACACATATAAAAAATTCAACCATCCGTGTATTAAGAAAACACATACTCTATTCGTTTTTCATATTATAAGTCGTTTGACGTTTTTCCTAGTCAAACCTTTTTAAGTTTGGCCAAGTTTATAGAAATATAGTACTAGTATTTTCAACATAAAACAAACATATTATCAAAATATATTCAATGTTAAATTCAATGAAAATAATTTAATATTTTAAATGTTGCATAAAATTTCTATAATCTTGATCAAAATTAATAAAAAAATCGACTAAAAAAATTCAGATGACTTATAATAAGTACAATATTGCAGTATAGGCCCATACTGGCCTGGCCGGAGAACACAGCAGTATTTAGCCCAAAACGAAGATGCATTGGTCCACCTGGCCCAAGCTCAGTCTAATCCACGAGCAAACATAGACACAATTTCACCATTTCTAATCGGACGGCGCGCAAGTCCGTGCACTCGTGGCAGTTGCAAGATCGCCGTCCGTTGATTCACATATAGAAAAGGCGAGGAAAAAACTCGAGAGGAAAAAGAAAAAGAAAGAGCCCGAAAAGAAAAAAAAAGGGAAAAAAAAACTCGGAGCGATGCACTCTTGGGTGCAGCGGCTGTTGACGACGGCGACGACGGCGGCGCTCCTCCTCCTCGCCGCCTGCTGCGCCGCCTCCGCGCTCGACGCCTTCCACGTCCCCTCCGTCCAGGCGCAAGCCCATGTACGAATCCGTCTGTTCTTCTTCTTCTTTTTGCTCCCTTTGCACTATCACGCCTGGAATCATCCGCGACTCGGAACCCTCGAAATTGGGGATCTTCTCTGCATTGCGCAGCATGTTGATATGGCTGAGATAGTTCTGAAATGTTTAGGTATTTGTTCTAGCCGGTTATCGTAGTCTATCTAGCAACGCGAAATTGTACAGTTCACTGGAAGATCTTTATAGGGTTAGGGTTTAGGGTTCTGTGATGTCTGGGAGGTCATTGGTGTGGCAAAATAGGTGGTATTTTGGGGGTTATAGGATCTTTGATGATTCTTGTTTACAAATGGAGATGCTATTACTGGTAGGTTGTTGTCATTTTCGGCTAGATCATGTACATATAGAATGTAGACACTGATTTGTCTGGCTGAAATGTAGAATTTTGGAAGGTTGGGTGCCAAATTCTGATTCTTTCAACAATGGTAAAATTGTGAATCTATCAGAGTATCAGTTATCTCTGCAAGCAGTGCTCGGTTATCATCTCTTTGTTGGTCTTGTTGCCTATTGATATTAGCATCAATGTGCTTATGTAATTTTTTTTTCTTGTAGGTTACAAAGATAAACCGATTCCACAAGCAGCTCAATGGCAACGACAAGGTCTGTGCCTTAAGGCCCTTAACCTTTCGTGCTTGCGTGTGTGTGCTGCCAGAGGCCTAAACGTATTTAGTTTCATTATGCGATAATTTCAAATTATCCAAATCACAGTTTCAGAGTAGTGTCTTCTAAATAGAGCAAGATTTCAATATGTGCTATTCTGTTATAATCTTCTACGCTGTATAATTATGTCATAGTACGTTTTTTTACCTTTTCTCATCAAGTAGCCTGGGTTCTGCCATTGTGTATTTTCGCCTTTTCAGTTTAGATTCAATACATTTCATTATGTGCTATGGAGAGTTTGCTTGGTCTGAAGTTCCGATGTTATGAATTAACAGTCAAAGGCTTGCCTTCGCTTTCTTTTAATGCAAATCTGCTTTGATATCTGTAATCAAGAAATACATTTTAGTAAAAAACCTTTCTTGTGCAAAGGCTTCAAATGTTACTATCTTATACTGAATGCAAAATAGAGTAGACATGTTCCAACTTCCAACCACCTGCAGAACAAAATCTGTCAACTTCCAATAGCATGATATTCATAAATATACAACAATGATTTTTCCAAAGTAATATTATCTCACTTTCATATCTAGAACAGAGTCTTGTAAATCCGCTTATGATATAATATGTTTCTCTCCTCAACTACTAATATGCACATCTGTTTGAATTACTTGATGATTTGCTGTTGCAATATTTCCTTTGTGAAATTCTGCGAATATATCGATCTCATAAATATACTGTGTTACTTCCTTTGCAACTACAATGAAAACTTTGTAAATTTGTGTGACAGGTGACACTGACCTTCAACTTGTCCGCAAATTTGGAGTCACTATTCACTTGGAGCACAAAACAGGTGATATTTTGATTTCACTAGAATATGCAGCTCATGTTTCAAATGTGGTATATCAGAAAACTGCGCTCACGTTTATCCCTGCCAGTCCGGCGAACAATATTAGCTGAACATCGCAAGTAACATGCTCGGGTAGGGATTGAGCAATTCACATAATGTTACTGAGAAACTGGACTGCTGTCCTCAATATAGAAGCATTGAAAAACTTGAGCAATGAGTGACCATCACTATTTGATACTTTAACATTGTCATGGTTCATGATTGCTTATCCTGTGAAACCAGTAATAAAAAGATGGTCACCGACGATCTACTGAATGTTATTGACTTGCTACATACATATTTAATTTGGCAGTCCATACTTCAGTTGTAGGATTTCCCAATTTTTATCACATGATTTTGTAAAGTTTTGGTTTACTTCAATGTTTTCGTAGCCAGTTACTAAGTTGTTCCTTTGATACAGGTGTTCGTTTTTCTGACTGCTGAGTATGAGAACTCGAAGAATTCGCTTAACCAGGTAACTAGTTCACATTTTACCTTGGCCAGCAGATTCTTCCTGCCAGTATCTGTACTATTACGAACAAGTAGCTGGTCTTCAATCAGTGATTACATGAAATCTGTAATCATGCATGGAATGTTTAGACTACTGTACATACCTACCCCTTTCTTTTTAGCTTTTTCACTGGATTATTTGCTCCACGCTTCTACAAATACAATTGCTTAGACCTCTTGTTCTAAGCTATCTGTTAAGGTTATTTCTCAAAATATTTAATTTCCCTATAACCAAGTAGATAATCTGCGGCAATAATTCTGTGAATAATTTGTTTTGAACGCTACCTTATAGAAACTGGCTGAAATCTGTAGTAATGTTCTGGTACATGTATTCATTGTGCTGGTATAGTGCAGTCTTTCCTTTAACCAGCAAGTAAACTTTTGATCAAGTTGTTCCAACAAGTTGCTCATTGCTTTGATACTATGTAGTCAGATATACAATTAAGCTGGTCAATTTATATTCTATATTCTAGTGGTTGCGGTTGATCAATCCATGCTCATGTTGAAATTGTGATATTTGACAGGTTTCATTGTGGGACCACATCATACCCGACAAGGACAAAGCGAATTTGCAAGTGGAGGTGAAGAGCAAGTATCCTCTGATTGACCAGGTAAAGCGTCAATCGTGCTTCAAAATCGAGTGTTAGTTTGCATGCATTCTTGGAATTTCTCTTGACTAGAATCATCTGCTCTGCTCTCATCAGGGAAGCAGTTTGCGCGGGAAGAAAGTTCAGCTTGTTCTACACTGGCATGTCATGCCCAAGGCCGGTGTAATGATCCGGGATCGAATGGCTCTCTCAGAGTTCAACCTGCCAGACTCCTATACATCTTGAGCAGCTCTGCTCTATCTGATCAGTTCTGTAGTAGACTCACACATGTAGATCTGGTAACAATCCTCTAATGAACATGACGATTAAGCATTGTGCATCCTAGGCAAAATGCTCTTTCCAATTTGGCATCTGCCATACGTTAGGATAATTGATGGAAAACCGAAGCAGCATATGAAAAGCACAGAAACAGCGGCTGCGTTTATTCTTGCCCCAGCTCGATTGAGCACATAGAGATGCATTACATGTGCTGGCAGAGTGACTGTCAGTGAAGTACTGACATCAACCAGCTACATCTTCACTCACTGCGTAGTACATATATCTAAGAAACAACGGCTTATTTGTTGGCATGTAACTTGGGACGGCATGCGTATGCACGAACTCAAGCACCATGGCCATGCTCTCACAGCACATTGGAGTTTGGATTGAGAGGATTTCAGTGCTTGCAGGGAGGGCCGCACATGCCGAGGAAGGTGTCGGTGCACTTGAACTTCTTCACAGGGTGAGTCTTGACGACGGCGCAGCTCTTGCAGACGGGGTCGCACTTCTTGACGACGTCCTCGCAGGTGTAGAGCCCCGAGAAGGAGAAGTTGCAGTTGCTGCAGCACTTGAGCTTGCCACCGTTGGTCTCAGTGTTGCCCTTGCTCTCTCCCACAGCTGCAACCAATTATCCGTGCAACCATTCAGTGATTAATCAGACATTTTTTTACACTAATTTGGATAGTTAAAACGGTGAAAGTTGGTTACGCAGCAGTAGAAACTTGGGTTGAATTGTTGGGTTCTTTCCGGCTTTGAGCCTATATCCATTTATGTGGATGAATGATGCTTGTGTATACAGGCTGTTAGGTTGGTTGGCATGATGGAGCCCAGCCAATGCATGCTTTGGATGTTTTTGTGCATGTCGAGTGCCAGTGACAGTGAGCCCAGTGAATGAGAGTGGCCGACCCCAAGATGGCAAGATCTACGAGCCTATCCTCTCGACGGCGACCTTGTAGTTTCATTCATTCGGTATGCCTTAGAAAAATCTCTAAAGTATACGATGCATAATCATCAATCACCGCAATTCCGAATCCTGATAACAACAACACAGTACGGGAATGGAAAGGCACACTCCATGGTTGTTCTTTCTAAAACTGTAAAGTAGTTGACTGGCTTTTGTTGGATCCAGTTATTAGAAATCTCGTGAGAGTGTAAATCCAGTTTACAGAGCAGGTTAACTAGCATTTTCCCGGGCCAAAACTTAATTTGACAATTAAGAAACACACGTAACCATTCTCCTTAGCCACAGCTGCAAAAATCCCCATGACCAGGACGGCCTGGAGAACCAGGATCACCATGAGCGTGCTGCTCTTCATGGCCACCTGTAAATTGTTATCGTGCTATAGCTATGCACAAAGCTTTGCCCTTGCTCGGTCTACTTGCAGAGTGCTTTGAGCGGTTGTGGTTGCTGCTGGCTAAGCGCATCTGACCAGCTCTATTTATAGGTGTCCAGATCGGATTTTTTTTTCTCTTGGAAATTAACTTCGTCAGGTGCGTCTTTTTTTGACCCTGGTCTGCGATCTGGAATGCACATGTCAGCTTGGTGTTTCTCCCAAGCTTACTTTCTAAAGTACAAGAACTGTAGCTATTAGGAGACATCAGTGCTTAATTAACCTCACTTAATTTGGCAATTGCAAAACCTATACCTCCTTACAATGTATAACCCAACGTCACTTCTCAGTATCAGTAACATGGAGAGAAGCATCATTCCACAGCATAATCTGATGGTACACACAGCACAGTACAGTCGAGTGATCTACCACGGCTAATTAAGCAACTCTTCCTACATATCACGTGGACGATGCTCGCCATTTGCAACAACTTGCAAACCTGACGGTGACCTCTCATAATTACAGGAATGGATTCGATCTATTCCCCGAGAACATGCCCCAGCCTCAACAAACAAATCACACCCTCCGTCCTATAAAATTAGTAGAGTCAGATTGATACCAAAATAAATCTTTCCAAAATTTAGTAATATCAAAATTTTAGTAAAGTGACGGTTTGTCAAAATTTTGGTAGAATAGACTCAATGTAATATTGCCAAAATTCTATAGATATTATCAAATATTTGGCACTAAAAACTAAATGTAGCCACACGATTATCATCTTAATACAAATAATTTAGATATAACCGAAAGACCAAACACTTAGTTAAGAAGTGCTAATTACATGAAACTATAATATTAATGAGCTAAAAGCTTAGCTTGGCTAGACTCATTAGACTACGACTTTGAGCTTATTTTCCACCCCATCGTTGAGTGCACCTCTTATCACACTCAAAGAAATAAATCCAATCAACAAATCTATGGTTTTACTATCCTATTAAAAAGAGCAATTTTACCATCCAATATTTGGTATTTCGAGGTACCACATTTTACACATAAAAGTTTGGTATCTTGAGATACCAAACTTTACACTAGAGGTACCAAAATTTACACTAGAAAATATGCCGATGTACCAAATATTTGTGGTACACTATGATTTGTGGCACCTCTTATGCACTCAAGCATACATAATATTTGTGCACACTATGATTCAAATCTGGTGGGTCTGTGGGTGGAATTATGGGATGCTTCCCCGTTCAAAGGAATATTTTTGTTATGAAAGGTTTAATCATTAATTGATTACATGAAAAAGATTCTCTATGTTATATAGTACTAGGAGTATATGTAATATGTTCTTCTGACATGATGATGTGCTAATCAGTAAAGTGTAATAAAAGAAGTTGATCTTTTTAAACTTGATGGTTATTAAGGTAGACAGATTTTCCTTGCTGACAGATAATATAGACAATATATATCTATTATCACAAGATAATATTAACATTGTTCTCATGTCCCTCTCAAGTCCAGGGGAAACACAAGTCTCCCAAGTAACATGCAAACACCTTCTAGCTTCATTATTTTTATTTGGTCCTTCACTCAGACAACGGCTTATTGTTCGAGTATACAGTATACTAGCATCGAGATATGATATATAATGCACACTGTATATCACACAGATCACAGATATATGACAGCAATGGCTCGCGTTCATGCATTATTCAGGTCATCATCGATCGATCGATCGATCAGTGCTTGCAGGGAGGGCCGCACATGCCGAGGAAGGTGTCGGTGCACTTGAACATCTTCACAGGGTAGGTCTTGACGACGGCGCATTTCTTGCAGACAGGGTCGCATTTCTTGACGATGTCGTCGCAGGTGTAGAGCCCCGAGAAGGAGAAGTTGCAGTTGCTGCAGCACTTGAGCTGCCCCGGGTTGATGTCGATCGCCTTGCTCTCACCCACGGCTGCACACATGAAAATTCGATCATTCAGATCAATCATAGGGACTACATTGTACTGCATGACATTATCATCAGTAAACATCTGAGAAGACAGAAATGGTCAGTGTGAGAACGCAGTTAAGCAGCCTAGCTAAGATAGGCGAATCATATATATCCATCAGCGGCAAGAGATTAATGTATACAGTAGTACAGTACCATTTTCTTTTGCAACAGCAGCAAAGATTCCCATGATAAGAGCGGCCTGGACAGCCAGGATCACCAAGAGAGTGCTGCTCTTCATGGTGATGTTCTTGCGTTCCAAAGCCTTGAGCTATTTCCTCTACTTGGTACTAGTAGATGGCTTTACGCTTTGTGTTTGTGGTTATGGCCAAAGCCCAGGAGAGCATCTGTATATATAGGCGTTCAGATCTGAACAACATATTAGCATGTTGCCAAATGCCATTCTTTCATGCTTGATATCGAATATATTTTTTGGGGATGCATGTTAGGCGTGCCTTTGACTGACGCGGCTGCTAGAGTGTGAGGCGTTGAACACATTTTGTATTCTTCCATGTCACACTCACGCTCCTATCGTCCTCGTCAGCGGTCCAAAATGGACGAAATTGACACCACCAGCACCAACAAAAATCGTTCAGTTGTACAGTGGTAAGCTTTGCAAATCTTTAAGGGAATTAATAATGATTTCCCCATCTCATCACACAAACGAATTACCTGTTTTATATTATTATGTATAAATAGAACTCATGGGGGTTCAAAACACTATTTTATCAACTAGTAGTCCTATTTTTTTTCCTTGGACTCGTCTAGGATGTACCCTCTCCGTTTTTTTAATAGATAACGCCATTGACTTCTTATCAGACTATTCATCTTATTCAAAAATTTTATATAAATACATAAGATTTGAATCACGAATAAAATACTTTAAGTGATAAAACAACTCACAATAAAATAGATTATAATTACGTAAATTTTTTAAATAAGATGAATGATTAAACGTGTGATAAAATGTCAATTGCGTTATCTATTAAAAAACGAAGGTAATATATAGAAAAGCAGTATGCTGCGGCTTAACTAGAAATGGTAATACTGATTACTAGAGTCCCTGCGTGTCAGCATCCCCTGCTTATCAGGACTAACTGTACTGTGTATCGAAATGGACCCAGTTTTATTACAGGTATATCATGATCTTCTCATCACACTTGGATGACAAAATGATTGTACGTGCAAACTTGGATAACCGAGCAAGCTGAGCTGTCCGTTGGGAGATTAATCACGAGCTCATTCTCGAAAAGCAATTTTTTTTCAAACGCGTAAAAAAATTGTACGTTAATATATTAGAGAAAAATAGTTTTTGTTACACGGTACAATCAGTTAAACTGGCGATAGAGGAAGGAAGAAAAAGAAAAAAACTGTAGCTATAGAAAAGAAAAGCTACCGCGGCGACTAAACACAACTCTGATCAACGGGAGAGAAGGTACTCTGTGCCCTTAAAAAACCCAAAAACAATAATGCTAGCTGAAGACCGCACATGATCCTCTGAGATAATAGACTCCAAAACCAATAATCGGTATTAGGCAACACGACACCTTTCTTGCATATCATGACATTCCGCCCAAGTCTATAAGAAACGCAGATTAATTTGGCTAATCCGCCATGCGCATGATCAATTGATCAGCTCTAGCATCTCAAAGCCAAACAAGAGGCGAGGATAAGATCACAGGTCGCTATCGAGCGTTACTCTCACTGGCCCAGCGTTAAACCAAACCCTCTTTTGATGTTTCTGGCTCCACGTAAATACGTCCTGGCTGCCAAACCTCACTACCAACCTGTCATTAGCGAAATCAGAGCATCTGATGGTCTGTTTGGTACAATTTCAACTCCTAAATTTAGCTCTAGGAGTTAGGTCTGAAGTGGAGTTGTGGAGCTGGCAGCTTCACAACTCTAGTTTATTTTGTGAGAGAGCTCTTCCCAACTTCGCTTCCAGTTTTAGTGGAGCTGAAACTGTTTGGCTGAACTCCAGCTCCAGAAGGGGTGGAGGTGGAGGTGGAGCTGTGTCAAACAGGAGGTTGTCAGTATGGCATCGTGTGGATTGGATGTTGAAGGCGGCAGGCGGCTAATTAAGAAGCATTGACCATTCTGATGTTGCGTGGTTCAACACAATTCTGCTTCTCAATTAGTACCATCTGGAAAACCTGATAAATGGGCCTCCATGGCTTTTTAAGGAATAAGTTTACATTGCGTCCCTCAACTCATGTACCTGGTTAAATCGTATCCCTCAACCGCTCTCGCCGTCCCACCGCTTCCAACGTCTTGCTGCTCTCACCGCTCTGCCAAGCTCCCGCCGTCTGCCCCGCCGCTCTCTCCATCTCGCTCGCCGTCGAGTGAGGAGACGAGTAACTGACACGTGTGCCCAAAATTTCTTTTTATTTTTATTTAGGTTTGTTTTTTACTGCCACGTAAGCGCCACGTCGATGTCACATGGGATGAAGACCAGATAAACCCGCCACGTAAGTGCCACGTGGGAAAAACCGCCTCCGAAACCATCGAGGGAGTCGATTTGCAACGGTTTTTGAAGTTAAGGGACAAGTTATATCCGGTTTTGCGGTTGAGGGGTGTGATTCACCCAGACGCATGAGTGGAGGGAGGTGAAGTAGACTTATTCCTTTCCGCTTTTTAATCTCTGTATCTATCTGGGCCTAATTCTTCAAATCTTCATGATGATGGGCCAAAAATCTATATAGGCCCTTCTTTTCGGGGCCTTTTCTCCGTTTCTTTTGGACATCCATAATTATCCTGACGTACAAAATGGTCCTGTGTTGACTGACGATTGGGCTAGCAAGAGTCAGTCACAGTAGCGTGTAACCCGTTACAGAGGTAACTGTTCAGGACTGGTCATCGGCTCTTTTAAGGTGATGGTGCCACCTACAGCAATGTATGGTGGTTGATTTATTGGTACTCAAATCTAGTTTCTCTTGGACATTGATTCCGCGAACCAAATTCAGTCCACGTTCGCACAATCGCACTATAGTTAATTACTCCCTCCATTCTAAAATATAACCACTCTAACCTAAACGCTAAGAAATACTCCCTCCATCTATTTTTGATAGACATATTTCCAAATCTGAAAAAATTATTTTTGATAGGCATAGTTTAATCCAACAACATATCATCTTAATGACCTTCTCGGATTTAATGCATGACTCTTCATTCTTACACACAAGATTGGCTACATAGACATTGAGAAATGTAAATATTAATGAATCGCTTGTTTACGAGGAATGACTAGTAGCATATTTAAATGGATGATAAATATAATTACTTATCTTTGGTCTGTGTGCCAAGATGAAATATGACTATCAAAAGTAGATGGAGGGAGTAATTATTATCACCTTATAGTTTGAATTATCTTAATAAATACTCCATCCGTCCCACAATATAAGGGATTTTGAATTTCTGTTTGCAACGTTTGACCACTCGTCTTATTTAATTTTTTTTTGCAAATATAAAAAATGAAAAGTTGTGCTTAAAGTACTGTAGATAATAAAGTAAATCACAAATAAAATAAATAATAATTTAAAAAAATTTAAATAAGACGAGTGGTCAAACGTTGCAAACAGAAACTCAAAATCCCTTATATTATGGGACAGAGGGAGTAGAATACATGCACCCTACAATTATAGATCTTGATGGTCAAGGATTTGAATAATAATATTTTAGTGAAAAATATGTGCTAGGTAATGACATGCATGCATGTCCGTCTTATATTATTAAATAACTTTAAAAAATAGTTACTCCCTCCGGTTTCATTTTAATTGACGTTTTGAACAATGACACGGTCTACAAAATATACCTTTGACCTTATTTTTTATTATAATATACACAATAAATAAATGCATGTTTACTTTTATTATAGTGTTTTGAAAGACAAATATATATATGTTGTTATAGTTTCTTTAAACTAAATATTTTTGAAGTTATTGATGGTCAAAGTTATTAAAGTTTGACCTCAAATTTGTCCAAAACGTCAATTATTATAGAACCGGAGGAGTATACGTTATTAAATAACTTTAAAAAATATTATGGAATGGAGGAAGCAACATTGATTACGAGATGCTTTCTAATGGAAAATTATGTAAGAGCTGAGTTACAATCGTGAAACCCATCTAACACGTTACACCTAGTCTTCCGTCACAAGAGCTATCCTTGGTTTTTCTGATCCACTGCATGCGCTAGTTTTGCAGCTGCTCTCCTTTATATATTCGTGTCATTTAGATACCATACCACATCCTGCTACTCATAATCCATCTTGTTAAGTGCTTGTGTTCAGATCAATGGCTTTCATAGTTTGGGCACTACTACTCTTCCTTTTACATCTTCCCACAATAGCGACCGGATCCAGTGCCCACTTTGGCGGTAACAACACTGTTAGGTGCCATCCAAACCAGGCTGCAGCGCTCCTCCAGCTAAAGCAATCTTTCTTCTGGGTTAATTCTCCGGTCATCCTTCCGACATGGCAAGATGGAACCGATTGTTGTACCTGGGAGGGAGTTGGCTGCGATGCTTCTTCTCATCTTGTCACGGTACTTGATCTCAGTGGGCGGGGCATGTACAGTGATAGTTTTGAACCTGCACTCTTCAGTCTCACATCCCTACAACGCCTAGACCTTAGCATGAATTCCTTGGGTACCAGCAGTACCACCAAAGATGCTGAATTCGATAGGCTCACTTCGCTCACCCACCTCAACCTCTCCAATTCGGGCTTGGATGGTCAGATACCTATGGGCATCAACAAACTCATTAACCTTGTGTCCTTGGACCTTTCCAAGCGCTATGTTAACGATAACAGTGATATCTCTTTTAATGAGAGTGATGATGAGATTATCTTTACAGGTGACAGTTATAATCATCTGCAGGAATCCAGGTTAATGTCCCTAGTAGAAAACCTAAGCAATTTGAAAGAGCTCTACCTCGACCATGTGGATATGTCTACAAATGTAGATGACTGGTGCAAAACCCTTGCTCAATCAGTTCCTCGTCTTCAGGTACTTAGTTTAGATGGTTGCTCTCTCAACACTCCTATTCATCACTCCCTTTTGAGGCTCCATTCTCTCACAGTGATAAATCTTCAGTCCAACCCTGGTATAGCTGTCAATCTATTTCCAGATTTCTTCATGGGTTTCGCCAATTTAACTGTGCTCCGACTTTCTCATAATAATCTCGAAGGGTGGTTTCCTGACAAATTCTTCCAACTGAAAAATCTAAGAATCCTCGATTTGTCCTTTAATATGAATCTGTTAGGGCATTTGCCAAAAGTTCCAACCTCTTTGGAGACATTGAGACTAGAGGGGACCAACTTTTCCTATGCTAAACGAATTTCTTCTAGCAATTTCAATATGCTGAAGGAGTTGGGTCTTGAAGGGAAATTAAT